CTCCAAGCAATGGTGTGAATAGCTGCCGGATGTAGTTCTGGGTCCAGGCACCCTGGAAAAGGGTGGGTACGGCCTAAGCAGGCCTGGGTGGGAATTTAGGGTCCCCGCTTCATGGATACATGGATACGTAAAATTATAATGTCTTGAATGGTTTCCAAGACATGCTGGTGGTAAGAGTCAGGGGTCAGTTCTTGGATGGTGATGGTCAGGGATGTTGGCATAGGAGCTTATGCTAAGTCTTTGAGATGTGGACAAGCGACCTTGCTTAAGTCTACAAGCTACCGTCAAGGAAGTGCTCTTCAATGAGCAGTGAGGCGTAGGCAGTGCGCCTGGCGCACCTCGATAAAGTGCACATGGAGGGTTTGGGGCGTTGGGGTGGGCACATGTTGAGGCATTTCCATGGGGCCCCCTACTTCGGCAAGTAGCTACAAGAAGGGGTCCGAGCTGGATTCTTGTTTGGCTTGCAAGCCACGTAATTACCCCAAACCCTGGGCTTTTCCTTCGCCACTAACAGTCATATATGTCTCTTCTGGGGGGGCTATCTTATAATTGCAGTTACATTTTATGTTGACGGTTCGTGGTTGGGCAGGGCTCAAGATAAACCCTGAAACATCATATGCTGGCCATGACATTGTTGAACCAGAGCTCTGACTTCAAGTCCTTTGGGAGACCTGCAGCCCTTTTCTGGAGAGCCCAAAGCTCCCTCCCTTATCTGCTGCTACTCTGGTTGTTCTCAAAATTATGGGCCCATTATGGGCCCCTTGTGGTCCATAGATTCTATGACGGCACTTAATATCTAGGGATACCCAAATGGGACCCCAATTGTGGGAACTACCCACTTGAAATCTCAGCGGCTAGAAGACAAGCAGAGAACCTTTACCAATTTGGAGATATGGAGATTTCCAAAATTCACGGTTTTTTGGTGGGTCCCTATAAACAAGCATGGTACTTGTATTGGAGACCTTAAACCCTGAACCCTAAACCCTAAACTCCCTGAACCACAAGCCCTAAACACCAAACCCTAAAAACTTCCTAAACCCTAACCCTAACGCTGGAGTCTATATTGATGCCTGCTATCTATGAAAACCTCCATATCTGCCTTCTGTATGGGTTCTAACAAGCCTAACCTGCCGGGCCATAGTACGTAGTAGGGTTTGGCGTGTAGGGCCCAAGGTTCAGGGTGCACTTGTATCACGGACTCGCCTGTTTTCTGTTATCATAAGGGGATTTGGGGAACTCCAACCCCCAAAATTAGGCTATAACCACCATATGATAGTCATAGGGTTCTAATCTTAGGGGCTTGGGTTTCCAAAATCCATGTATCATTTTTAGGGGAGTACATGATAGGGCAATCTCCTGTTTTGATAGGCTGCAGTGTAGTATCCAACATTCCAAGGAGGCTGTGGCGTCGGGACATCCGAATGCTTCCTGGATTGCAGGACAACGAAGTTGAATCCTCTGACCACCCACTTTACCTCCGAAGGGAGGGAGCTCGAGGCATGCCAGGGATAGGCTTGAACATGACTTATGTTCCAGGACCTTCCTTGTACCCTTAATTGGGGATATATGGTCCCTAATAGTGGGTACTTAGGCCCTAATAGAGGGTAGGAGGAGGGTCTAGGTTTTTCATTACCCTTGATCCCCACATAATCCCTAAAAAGCCATTGAAGTTAGACTTTTGGCGGGCTGCCAAATCCACCCTAGGAGTGAGAACCCAATGGCCAAAAGACCTGAACCCTGTGCAGGTGGTCTTGGAAAGCAGTGACCTTCTTGTTCCTGTGCACCAGGCTAAGGACGGAACGGTTCTTTGTCAGATGCTCGTCCTGGGAATGTTTCATGACTTTGCAGAGGATCTAAATAAGTCTGAACCGTGCACGCTTTGGGCCCTACATAACGCCTATGAATAGTACTACTTCAGGCTATTTGGATCACTAGTTTTTGTTCGTGGTTGATGGGGTGCAGTGGGTTCAGCACGTCGTTTTGTCAAGGTTGCAGTATGCGCAGGTCATATTTTCAAGAAGAGGTGCCAGAGTTATACAAGATGCTAGAACATCATCTGCCAACCTGCTAGCTGTAACTGCCACGAACTGGGTTGCTGTTACGCAACTTAGGCTGAGCTGCCATAGTATGGTTATACAGTAGATGGCAGGTTTTCCTACAGAAATGATCATGGTAGCTTGATGTACCTTCTCTAACACGAGTCCAGCACGCCCAGGATAGGCCTCGGGCTTTTGACCAATGAGCAGACGCCACTCCCGATGATGGTGTTGGGAGATGTCTTCCTCCGTAAGGCCGGTAGCTCATGTGGCTTTTGTATAAGCCTGGGGGTTTTAAGGGTCCAGGGCTCGGGGTTCAGGGCTTTAGGGTTTAGGGTTTAGGTGGTTTTCTGTTATGTGGGGGGGGTGGGGGGGATGGGGGGGGGACAGAGGGAGGTGCTCGGGAGTAGCGCAGGGATCCTTGGAGAGTGCCAAATCCCCCATTGAGGGAAGACAGTTCATGCCATGTCTCAACATAATGGGATCCTGCCCCTGAGTCCTAGATCAATTATACTACCTCTGAACCAGGAACCCACTATATTGGTAACTGGGCGTCTGGGTGTAAAAGAACCCCTTGATCTTCAATTCTTTTTGCTTTCGCACCCGCCAGTGCCAAAGCATTGCCTGGCAGGTCCACGTTATCCACGATATGGCTGGCCCAGCTGTGTCTCGTCTACCTCTGGGACCCTATAAGCCTTATCGAACCCAAAGCCCCCCAAAAGCCTAAAACCCAAACCCTCAATACCCAAAGCCCCTAAAACCCTAAACCCTCTACCCGTAAAACTACCCAGGTGTCCTTCGCAAGGATGCTGGGGGTCTTTGGGTCAGTTCAAGGATTCAGTGAGGGTTGAAGGTTTAGGGCTTGACACTCCTGGCTCCAGGACGCTTTGTGGATTGACGAAATTCCATAAAACCTAGTCAATATAGACAGAACATTTCTGCTGTTGGGCTCTACCAATAGTCTTGTACTTGGAGGGTTAGGGGGACTTGGTAAGTAGGCTACTAATCGGGATAGTTGGGGTTATTATGTGGCTTAATTATAGGGGCTATTAACCTGCTTACTAAATCCCCCTGACCCTAAACCCTAAACCTTAAGCCCTAAACTAAACCCTAAACCCTAAGCCCTGAACCCTTGACCCCCTAAGTAGTTCTTAACGAACAGCCCCAAGGATCCGAGGTATGAACCCATTCTGGTGCCGCCGAATCGCATAATCCTACGTATATGAGCTAGAGTCTAAACTCCTTAAAGGGGGTTATATAAGGGGGATTATATAGAGGAATATTATAGGGGTTATTAAGGGGCACATTTTTAGTTCAGACTACAGCTATAGATCCCAGAGCAACAGCTTACAGAACATTTAGCCGTACTTATCCATACTAGAAACCCACTTGCAGCATGATTTGTACTTAGGCTTCTTTCTGTCAATGGAACAGCCGTTTGCCGTCTGCATGCCAACATGGCCACTACTCCTCTCCTCCCAAATAGTAAACCCCACCACCCCTAATATCAAATACTCCCATAATGTAATATATCCTAAAATATATCTGATTTGATATAAGGGGGGGGGTTCGGGGGAGGGGATTACTCAACTGGCAAGTTGCTCGAAATCCTCCCCAGGGCCTCCTCAGTTGGGACACCCAGAGTCGCTTCGTACTCCTTATCTATCTATGTCTATGCCCAGGGTCCTAGTTGAGAAACCCTAAACCCTAAACCCTAACTTTCAATCCTGCGAGGTTGGAGGATGTCGGGTTTTTGGGGTGGGAATACTTACCCACCCGCCCTGAAGGACCGGAAACCTCCCATGCTTTCTTGGAGACGATTGTTAGCCCTTGGGGGTGGGTGGGGGGGTCCTTAGAGTGGAGGGTTGGTAGTCATTTGCATGACTATGCCCTTCCGAGCAGCTATTGGAACGTCAGTCGGCTGAATCCCTGCAATGCCCTCCCCTACTAATTATTCAACCTCAGGACCCCCAACAATGAATGTAGTTCCCCGGTAGATGTGGGTTCCTTTGTTCATGGGTTCCCCAACTGCCCTGCTAGCTTCCGCCTGAATGAACAATACTAAGTAGCCCTTCTTTTCCTAAACCCAAAACCCCATGTACTCTAGACCCTAAACCCCATCTACTCTTCAAGGCAGGGATTAGACCTAGGTGACGTTGGTTCCTGATGTGACTGATCGAGCTGAAGTTGTCCACTTCGTTGAGAGCCACGAGGTCTGCCGTTTGTGCTTAGTGCGCCTAATGTAGACCCGTGATTAATAAACCCCCTTCTTTTCAAGGGCCTTGATATTCTCGATCCCTGTTATAATCCCTATTTAGGGGAGGGGGTTTGTTAATCAGGGGTCTGGGATACAGGCTTAGGGTTACCATCCCTTACCAAAACCAGAAACAAACCCACAAAGGATTTCCCCGAACCCTAAACCCCAAACACCACACCCTAAACCCTAAATCCTAAACCTTTCGCTAATGGTTTGCAAAGATGCTCTTTCTCTCAAGATTGCCTTTCAAAGGCCTTGTAATTTCCCTAAGAGGGTCCTCGGGATGCAGCTTGGAGAGGTTGAGGATTAAGGGTTGCTGTTAAGGAACTTAAAACAGCTGACAGTATATAGTGAAAAAAAGAGGGTTCCTTTACATAGTATCTGAATTTAAGTTCCGTAACAACAACCCAGTTTAGTGCCTGCAGCTTACTAGCCCCAGTCTTTTAGGATTCAGGGTTCTCTTTGTCGCTTCAACATTTGACTGCAAGTTGTGTTTCTTCTGGTATGCACATACGGTTCGCCAAGTCATGCACTCAGTAATTAAGAAGTACAGTTCTTGAGTTTTTTCATTGTAGGACTAAGCCGGTGAAGATGGATTGGCCTAGCTTGTAGACTATCGGAAGCTGGTTCCTGCTTGAAAACATCCGGTTACTCCAATGTTGGACCGTGATTATGCGAACAAATCTACTAATTATTCAGAACTTGGGCTTGCTGTACAGGGGCACCGGGCACCGGCTATCACATGCACATCGTTCTATGTGTATATATATATATGTACACACATGTTCATGTACGTGGCGATGTACTACACACAAGACATACTCATCTGCAAACGTTGGCATGCAGGTACACCTGCATCCTCAACCCCAAACCATGTGATGGAAGATTGAATCTCACAGAATCGCAACTATGTAGTACACACGCTCAGTCCACAGCATAGATACCAAGGGAGCACTTTGGTCGGCACTGTTGTCAATATTCCCGAGTAGTTTCATCACTGCGTCCCTAGCAGTTCCCTTTCTAGATCCCTTGGCAAACATCTGCCATGGAGCCGTAAACGCAAAGCCTCCCGTCCTGGTTCCTATTGATGAGGAGGACCCCCCCACCCTGACCCTAATATAATTCTTATTATCCCTTACCTTTACAGTCACTAATACTGGGTTGGTGGTCGACCTAACGTATTGATAACAAATGGTAATTTTCCAAAATGGGGGAACCCCAATGTAGTCCCAACATACTTTAATCCTTATTATTGGGACTCTCAAATGGTACCCCTAATTTTGCGAAACACTAAGCCCTAAACCCTACACCCTAGATAGTAGCTTCCATTTTATTTTCCATTATCCCTATATAACCCCTAAACCCCTAAACCCTTTAAAGGAACCCCTAATTTTGGGAAACCCCCAAATCTTGGCAACAGCTGTCCGTAGCAGGGACATGCCGAAGCTGCAAGTTTCGACGAGGGTCGTGGTGCCCTACAAATTGCAGCGTGGATGGGTTTAGGATAATTATAGGGTTTAGGGTTTAGGGCCTAGGGTTCAGGGTTTAGGGTATGCCTGTAACCCCATTAACGTACAGTTTTATGGGTTATACCTAAAAATTAAGCGGCAATTATTACTAAGCTGAAGGTAATTGGGGCCACAGGGTTTAGGGCTTGCTGTTCTTAGTGCCCTAAACCCTCAAGTATGCTGGAGGGTGAGGGACATTCCTTCTGAGGTTCAAGATTCAAGATTATAGCGTTCTTTCGTGCTGCTTGAGGGGTTTTGCCTGTCGAAGCTTACGTTTGAGTGTGTTGAGTTTTGAAGTTGATGTTTAGGAGATGTTTTGCTGTCATATAGTACTTATAAGCTTTGAGTTTAGGTCTGGAATAAGTTTAGGGCTGATGAACCTGGTCTTCAGAGTTTAGCTGGTTCGTGCTTATTATTTCCGGATTATATGCAAAGTTGTGTTGTTTTGTTTGGGCTAATCCTGAATCCTTAACTTAAACTCTACACCCTACACAAACCTTAAACCGAAGACCCTTTCCTTTAGCCTAGAGGCTCTACTTTAAGGTTGAGGCTAACCTCTGAGCCTAAACCCTAAACCTCAAACCAAAAACCCCTGACCCCTAAACCCTAAACCCTGATCCTAAGCTCTGAAGCCCCTATGGCCCAGGCTCTTACTCTGCCATCCCTTACATTGCTGGAAGCTCCTTGGCCTCTTCTGGGGCAACATTCGACATGTATAGTCCCCCTTAAGTAGATAGAATATGGTGTTTATGGGGATCTTATTACAATATACCCAAAGCCATATTCTATCTACTTAAGTGGTACTGTAAGCCCATGCAAGGTTAAAAGGGTGTAGAGCTTAGAGTTTAGGGTTAGGGTGGGGTATCAATCCTTATGAGGTTGCGCTTTCATTAGGTTTTTTTGGCGAGTGTACGTACGCTTCCCTAGGAACATTGGCGGGTGTCTTTCTTGTCCAACTTTGTCGGGGTGGGGGGCACAAAACATTTTTTGGTCACGCAAAGGTGGGTAACCTGGCCACTCCCCACCTAACAGCCTAAATCCTAAACACTAAACACTAAACAAACCGCGTTTCTAAAGGTTAGCGAGCTTCTAAGCTGAAGAGTTAACAGTTTGAGGGTTCAGGGATTTTGCGGTGAGGGTTTTCTGTTTGTTGGTTTAGGGTTAAGCGCTTAGGGTTTAGAGTCTAAGTGTCGTTTTGTGTTTGGGGTATGGTCTTCTTCGACATAGCTTTAAGGAGAATCCTTTGTTCTTCGGGTGGCAAGGGCAATGTTTCCTGTTGTGCATGTGTAGCAAAATAGCTGTGTGAGTGCTTCCGCGTGCGTACTTGGGTTCTTCTTTGGTACAGGCTTTTTCTGTTTCGGAAGACAAGCCAAAAAACACTGCAAGACTGTTCTTGGGAAGCGGCATTCAATTTGGCCCACTGCTGCCACCATCATTCCAGAATCATGGCAGGGCTCAAATCCTATGATGCTTTACGTCGCAACGTCGTGTTCAGAATCACCTCTTCAGGCATTTAGCCTCGCGCAGAACTGCGCCACTTTACTTTACTTCAGTTGGCGTTCTCACGCAGGAGTTTCTCAACAATTCCCTAAACCCTAAACCGAGTTGTAGGCCCCAAGATTCTCGTTGCAATATCATACATCCTACATTCCCTATGGGTACCCCGAGTTCGAAGAAACTCCCGTGCAGCCGCATTCCGGTCAATTGGGTAGCCTTCAAACTCTAAACCATACACCCCAAGCCCTAGAGCCTACGCCCAAAGACCTATACTCCAGAACCTAAATGTGATCCACTAAGCCTAAACTTAGACCCCAAACCTAAACGCATACCCTTCGTGCTAAACCCATGATCACCCCAAACCCTTTAGCCCATACCCCAGACTAGAAGTCCCATTACCTACGCCCGAAATCTATACCCCGAACCCTAAACCCTAAACCCACAAACCCGAAGTCCGCGCAACCTAAGGCTCTGCTTTTGCTGGGCGGCTGCTTGTGGCTGGCCTGTTGTTAGGGAACTTCCAAGTTAGCATAATATGGATAGGTGTAGTATAGGATTTCACAGCTAAAGTTATATGAGCTATAGTCTAAACTCCTTGGAGGGAAGTTATATAGGGGAGTATTATCGGGGGTACTCGGGGCAATACTAGGAGTTTAGACCATGACCCATCGAGATTTTAGCGTCCAGAAAACAGAATACAAGGATGTAGTAAACAGGAGGGTTTCCTTAGAATGGTAAAGCAGTGAATTTGGGAGTTCCCTAGAACTAGGGGTGCATTTGGGGGTCCCCAGTATAAGGAGTGTAGTGTATTGGGGTCTCTGTTGGGGCTCCCCTATTTATGGGAACTATTCTTCAAGTTTCTAGACCCTTTCCCCGAATCCCTAAATCCCTAAGCCTAAACCTCTAAACCCTAAACCCCTAAACCGTGAACCGCTAAACCCCTAAACCCTAAACCCCTAAACCTCTAAACCCTAACCCCCCTAAACTGTTCAAGTCTCTCAACAACATCTCAGGTTGGGATACCTGGCTTTCGCGAGCCGGGTCTGGCGGCCTTGGCCACGGTTTGGAGACCGGTTTAGCGTTCAGGGTTGAGGGTTAGGGTTTAGGGGTAAGGGCCAGTGTTTATAGGGGTTACATATCTATATATACATATATATATATATGTATATGCATAGTGTGTGTCTATGGGGGTAGAGAGGTGTGTATATATGTATATAGGGTTCAGGGCTTAGGGTTTACCTGGCCCCTCCCATGCAGCTCTGTTTTCGGTATGGTGGCGTGGTACAATTCTGGGTTTTATTCTCGTTCGGCTTGAGTTGCAGGCTACTTAGACCCTAAACCCCAAACCTTCCTAAATACTTATAAGCCATGGTTTTGGGTTTATGGCAGATCCATGTACAGGCTGGGCGTGCTTATCCTAGGTCCTATGTGTTCCTTCCCTGAGTCAATACACGCACCTGACTTCTACAAAACCTCTAACTAAAACAGCACAGTGAACAAGAACAAGGGCAGAAGACCCGTCCCTTGAAACAGCAAATACTGTCTGGATTCTTTGCGAAGGCTGAAGCTTCTAGAAAAGCCCAGACTCCAATAGTGCTATGACTAGCGCGAGTACTAGCATTAGTTCTGTTGCGTTTTTTTCCACTCGCTTTTGCTCTTGCGATGGTCTAAACCCTAAACCCCTACACCCTAAAGCCTAATCCCTAAACCCTCAAAGCCCTAAACCCTATATAAACCCTGAATCCCCAGTCGTATGATCCAGGTGGCCACATCTTCCTCCGCCTGAGCCCCGGGATGACTATATAAGGCTGTAGTCGTCCTCCCGGAGGGTCATTGGGGAGCTTTTAGAGGTATGGATTCCTCTGTACGTATGATGGAGTCCTTTTTGGTTCAGGGTTTAGGGCGTAGGGGCTGCTGTTTTTGGGAGTGAAGGATTTTCATGGACTGGATCTGCCAGATTTAATTATGTGTTTGGTCATGGCTGTCGTATAGTGCACCAGAAACGGCCTGGGTTGGAAGGTCTGGGTAGGGCCTGAAGTTGAGCATGGGACGTTCTTACCGGAGCGATGAGGTTATTCTTAGTCTTAATCTTACAGATGGCGCCCACAAGCAATGTCGCTGAGTGACTGAAGCGTGCTGTTCCTAGACATCGCGAAAGATGAAAGTTTGCTTCTGCTTTGACTTCGTCTATGCACCCGGTTATGACAGCGCCAACTTACGCCCACACTGCAAGGGTTGATGTTCGATTGAATACATTTTGCATCCAAGAGGAGGCTCCTCGCATGACCCTCTGGGAAGGAGAAGACGATCTCAGCAGGAGAGCACCCACACCATCAAGAACATGGGTGCTGTTCAGTTCTAGCGTTTCTCAAAGCACGGGGCTTTAAATAAGGGACCTTACAAATGTATGAGGTAACAGGGGTATTCTGGGGCTCGTATTAGGGTTCATATGCGGATTACCAGAAACTCCGAATTCCTGAGCCCCAAGCCCTGCACGGATTCTTCTCCTGTGGGATGATGGCATCGGGTCACCAGACGTGTGTCAATGGGCCGTTGTCAAACAAAAGTGTGTCCTGACACTATCTGCGAGTCCTAAACCCTACAACTTTACACGCTAAAGCCCTATAATGTGGGATCTTGATTAGTGTTGGTCCGCCCAAACAGCACGGGGAGCCCCTGTGATAAACGGAAAGCACATTGGGTGGTCTCGATTGCTACAAATGGGAAGGGCTGGGTCCTTGGTAATAGAATCTGGCCTTCATATTTGCAAGCCTGGTCCTCTGAATTATTTGTGCGAGTGCATCAAAAAATGGCCCCTGCAGCTCGAGAAGGGGTACTCAATGCTTGTTGAAAATATGTTCTTCACGCGCCGGGTCGATTTTAATCGCTCAAGGAACTCAAATGAAGCCTTTTCTTCATTTGTTGGGTCGCTTTTAACCATTCGAGGTACCATGATAAGGAAACCATATTGTTTACTGTATACCCATTCTAGCGCAATTTCATTTAAGTTCCCTAAGAGGTTCCGGCATTAAGCAGGAATCGGCCTGAGACTGTTCCTCTGACGGTGCAGCAATGGAAAAAGGGTTCCTAATCTGTGTGGATGTCTAAGGAAGGGGTCCTTTGGAAGGTCCTTGAAAAAAGGATGAGCCCAACGGTCCCAGTACCTAATAATCATACCCCAAATCTGCATTACAATTACTACTACCCTAAACCCAAGTACCTATTGGGTCCTTGGACCCTCTGGGTTATAGCATATAGCAAAAAACCTGTTAACCCTAACCCTAAAACCTAAACCCCAACCCCTAACATATTGCCAAATATCATTTTTTAGGTAGGCTTCCTGCATGGGTTTTGGTTCCTGGGCGTACTCGGCGAGTGTTTTATTGGGTGTCTTGGTATCGCAGTGGGTTAGTGAACGGGTAGTACCTACTTTGGGCCTTAATGTCTAGAAATTGTACATATTCTGGGCTATCTGTAGCCCCACAACACAGTTCGGGCAACGCCTGAGCGCGAGGCCGCAGACAAGAAAGAATACCGGATTTGACAGCGACCCACACATCCAGAATTCACGCTTCGACCTGCCGTTTCTTCAGCGAACCTTTGGTTTCAGCCTCAGGGTTGAGGGTTTAGGAGTCCGAATTTGAAGGAGCAGCCACTTGGAGGCTTAGTGGACTCGGTAAGTAGCTTATCAAGGGAGTTACAAGCAGGCCAGCCCCAAGGGAACTAATGCCGACCCTAAACCCTAAACCCTAATCATAATCTACTTTCTAGGCCCCCTGAGCCTTCAAGCAGGAACTCTGAATGAAGGGTTTGTAATTGCAGTTTGAGTGCAGGCAACGAACACAGCACTTCCCAAAATGCCTGTTTGCTTGTAATGATTTATTCCATGTTGAAAGGATGGCAGTGGCAAAGAATAGCTATGCAGATTCAGCGTTTCTGGTCGAGCTTGGTTTCTTGCATGTAGGTGGTCTTCATAAGTTAGAACCCCTCCACAAGGATGAACCTCCTCGCGCTCATGAGAACGAATATGAGCAATGTATCAGCTTACTATGGGGAATGAAACCCTAAACCCAAAATGGTTTCAGGGTGGAGTACTTCTCTTGGGAAGGGATTAAGCTGCGCCACGGATTGATAGAGGCTTTCCCTCCTTCGTGTTTCTTGAGCTTTAGTATAAACTCCTTATTAGAGGGGGCTTAGATAGGGGACTATATCGGGGAGTATTATAGGGGTTATTGAGGGAAATACAAGAAGTTTAGACTATAGTTCACTGAAGGAGAAGGAGAGCTTATTAATGCAAACCAGACATTTCCATGCTTAACAAGCCCCAGGCAACAGATGCTGGGGTTTGCTTCAAGTTTTCCTACCTGCCCACTGGGCAACTTTAAACCTTAGCGAAAACTTGTGAAACAACTGACAGCTTAATCTTTAACAGTAACACTCCTAGGTGCTGAAGACTTAGTCTAATTTGTAGTCTGTTTGTCAAGACTGCCCTCAAGTAACTCAAGAAGCCCAAAGACCTAAGCCATGCGGACGCCAATCTGATTCAGTGCTGGCGGTTGTTGATCCAACTTGGTGTTTTGGATCTATAGGGGTACCCGATATAAACTCACATAGACCCCTGTATATTGTACTCCTTACGTGGACCTCATGAATGTTATCCCTAGTTTCCGGAACCCCCCAAAGTTGTCATGGCTTCCTTTACTCTCCCTTAACATACCGTAGGGATGTCTCGACCACAGTTCTGATTTTTCGGTGTATTTACACCCCAAGATGCAGATGAATTGGGTTGCTGTTAAGGAACTTGAATTAAGTTACCATAATGGGTATATATAGTAAATAATAGGGTTTCCCCTATATAGTAACTTAATTTAAGTTCCTTAGCAGCAACCCAATAAATGGTAATATTTGGGAGGGAGGGATCCATGGCAGCTTGAGCAGGTGACAAGGGGAATCCTACGGTGGATACAAAAAAATCCTGCCTGACCTCAAGTACCTTATACCTCGGGAATTATGCTAGTATAGTATAGTCATGCAGGATTTTAAGCATCAACAGTAGAAGGGGCTAGGGTTTAGGGTTTAGGATAGGGAATCTTAGATCTACCGGTGCTTAAATGGCAATGGGGGAGCGAACATAGTTACCATTCATACAGGGTCTATATGGGGATTGTATAGGGGTTATTCTACGGATCCACCTCCCAACTCTCCCTTAAGCACCAGGAAGCAGAAGGGCCCCTCTAAAGTCTCTGAAGACCACAGTTGCTTCGAAAGGGCCCCTGTTGGGTTCCATTTTGGGATGGAAAGGTGCGCTACTACGGAGTGACGTATTCGTTGGGGGACCCCTTTGTTTGATACAACTTGAGAAGTTGAAGCCTATCCCTACATCATCCTAGTCTAACTGTCACAGCATACCTGCCAAAACCTTGTGCCAGCTTCCTAGCCCTCGCATTGCAGGATACAACCCCCAAAACATACGAACTACTCAAACCCTAAACCCCAAAACCCTCGTCTGGTCCTTTAAGCCTGCATGGCAACCCAACCTAGCGGCAGACCCCGTTTGATTTCCATTATGTTAGGGTTTAGGGTAATGGCGTTTATATAAATTCTTTGAGTTTCGTTCCCTAGGCGCTACACCTCATGTAACCTTTCTAACACTTGTACAGGGACCCCTGCAGCCCAAACCCTACACACTATGTCCCTACTACAAGTCCCAAATCTTATACGCCACATAACCCCTTTAAATGCATGGCAAGGCAGGTCGCAGCAAATAGTTGTACTGCATTACTGCATGTCATCCACCGTTGGGGCTGGCGTTGCATGACTTCTTCAGAGTTGTGACCTTTCCCTGGAGCACCGACCATGGTACGACGCCTAGTAGTTTTTGCACCCTCTGCCCAGGGAGACCAGAGACCCTGGAATTAAGATCGGGCCCTTTAATCATATCCAGTTTCCTAGCTTCATTTAGGGTATACCCCTGAATTGAGGGATGGATATTGGGCCCTTTGGGTCAAGGGCTGAGCCTCCTGGCTTCAGAACTTTGGTTGGGCGG